AACTGAACAAAAATGAGAACGTCTCAAATAAAACTGAAGTAAAATAATTTTTTTATTTTTTTTATTTTATGTCAGTTTCAAGTAATATTTCAAGTAACGTAAATTATTTTTAATGGTTTTAGTTAATATATAATATATATGGGTCAAAGACGAAAAATGGTTTAAGCATAAAAACAATACTGCTTTAAATTATTGTTTTAAAAATTAAAAAATTTTCTGTTTAATGTAATTGTATTTTTGTTTTTGTGAGCAAAAAATAAATATCATACATATTTCCCTGATTTACAGAAGAGACGCACTAAAATATCATTCAGTGTAACAATCTCGTCAGGCATATTTACAACAAAAATCAATTTATGGCTTTTAATATTAAAAGACTAATTACTTTCCCCCCAAATACTAATTAGTTGTAATTTTACATTTTTAAAATGTGCCACTATCCTAGGCTTTGCCCATTTGTCAGTAATCATTTTTTACTCATTTAAAACACAATAAAATGTAATACGCTCATTTATTCTTTTATATATTTTAATATGCACAGGTCAGAATAAGCATGTTGTTTGAATTTTGACGATATTGTGTTACACTGAATGACAGTGTAACATTATTTCAACCAAATTTTGACATTTTATTCTCCAAAAACTTATTTGGAACCTTAAAAGCAGACACTTTACTTACATTTAATGTGCTTTCTATGGACATATAATCACTGTTTGTGATTGCATACGGGCATCTTAACGTCTTTGACTCATATATATATATATATCAGATTTTATTTAAATAACATATATATGTTTGTAATGCTTTTTCCTCTCTGTACAGTAAGTGTTTATGAGAGACAGCTCATGATGCTCATATACAGTATATATATATATATATATATATATGCACCTACCGAATCCATTCTGGTGTCTTGTCTCTGGTCTCCAAAGATTAAGTAGAACCAGGCCATGGTGGCGAACGAGTTCAGGATGAAGGAGGTGAACAAGTTTTTATGAAGAGTGATTCTCTGGCAGCTCAAACACCTGCGCACACACCAGCCATTCACTTACACTGCCAGCCCAAAAAACCTCTCCAACAGCAAGATATTTACAGAACTCTCTTCTGCTCAGCGTATAATGTTACAAAAGCTTTTTATTTGAGATCAATGCTGAATCTGAAATGCATGAAGGTAGAATGACGTCAAAAAGATTTGCATACGCAGGGTAATATTTGTGGGAGTGTACATAAGACTGTAAGCGTAAATTAAATTTGCATGCGCAAGAGAAGCTTTGTAAAGGTGTAAATCGTGTTTCAAGCGCAAGAAAAAAATATTTGCAGCATTTTACTGTTACTCGTAAGTGTAATTCATGTATTGTGAAATTGCAGCTTCATGCTAACGCAAAATAAATATGATCTGCATGCTTCTTCTGACTTCCATTTTTCCACGCTTACACTTTTGGCACGTTTTTTTTTCAACAAAATACGGTCAAAAGCACTGCAAGCCTGTGGACAGTGAATTGCAAGTGAAAACAACAGTTTAAAGAACTGCAAAACGGATTGACTGCATAGAACCAATCTGTACCTGTAAAAAAACTAACTGTTGCAAATGTCTAAACAACTTGTGCGTGTGGGGCAAAAAGTTCCCGAAATAAACCGATATATACAGCTACGTCTTTCTTTTCTCTGCGCTTACAATTTTGGCACGATTCTCTCTCTAACTGAGTTTTGCAAGCGTGAGGGGGAGTGTGTGTGTATGTGTGTGTTAAAAGTACCATTCCGACAGCAAGAACGATCCTGAACTAAATGAGGATTAATGTCTTGGCGTATGATGTATTTATTGGACCAATCAGATAAGAGTAACTGGAGAGTCAGCGAGAGCCTCGTTTGATTGGCTACAAGAAGAAGGTGGCCCCGCCCTCACGCTCTCAAAACTCAGTCAGAGAGAGAACCGTGCCAAAAGTGTAAGCGTGGAAAAATGGAAGTCAGAAGAAGCATGCAGATCATATTTATTTTGCGTTAGCATGAAGCTGCAGTTTCACAATACATGAATTACACTGCGCATCACATAAATACATTACAGTTTAAAAGATATTCAAATAGAAAGCACTTATTTTAAATAGTAAAAATATTTCAAAATTGTACTGTTTTTGCCGTATTTTGGATCAAATAAATGCAGGCTTGGTGAGCAGAAGAGACTTCTTTAAAAAACATTAAAAATCTGTTCAAAAATTTTGACTGGTAGTGTACATCACACAAAGATCCACTACTGTCTCTGTCTCGAAGCCATGTTTTCTGCTCTACTGATCACAGACTGACAGAAACATCATCAGTCTTCATGACGTACTTGAAGTGTGAGAAGATGCAGATGGAGATGAACAGCGATATGATGGACAGCCCATGTCCCACCATCACCAGATAGTAATTCACTAACATGAGCTGCAGGAGAAAGCGCACACACACACACACACACACACTCTCACACACACACACACACACTCTCACACACACACACACACAC